AGGCGGCTCCCCAAGGCGCCCGGCCGCCCTGAAAAAGACCGCGTCTTCCCCAGCCAGGAGCCCTGCTCCCTCGTAAAGCGAAACCGCGGCTCCAGCTGCAGGAAAAGCCTCGGGCGGCGATTAGCCTGCGGGTCCCAGCGCGGACTGTCGGGGGAAAGGAGCCGCTCAGCCCGGCTTTGAAGGGCTCCCATGCGGCGACGCTGGGTGCAGCATCCCTGCCAGTCTTTTCAGCCCCCGCTGGGAGGGCTTTGTTTTTTAGAAACAGATCTTCAAGGCGGACGCTCTCGTGTGTCTCAAGCAAGAAAAAGTGTGTGTGTAGGGGCGACCTAGCTGTAGAAGTAGCAGGGTGGGTTTATTTTAGCACATGAGCAGGGGGCACAGAGAAGGACTCTGCAATGCAGGTTTTTTGCCTTGTGTAGAGCCCTCTGAGGAGGCAAACCGGGTCTCCCTGAGCTGCAGTGCTGGGTTTGCAAATCCTTCTCAAAGCATTTGACTTCGGGGCAGACCAGGATGGTTAAATGAAATCTCATTCCTGGCTTCGAGAAATTATCTGGTGGGTGCAGAGTTAGGTTGGAAGCTACACAAAACGCTCTCTGATAGTTTATTAGGTACTTGTTCCATTGCTGGCGTATCTTGACATTTAAAAGTTTTAAGCGTTAGCTCTTCAAAAGAGCTTCTTAAAGGTGGAAATAGAAAGTGACCAGTCATGACAAGATGACATGCAATGTACAGGAAACTCAATTCAATATTAAAGAAACAGTTAAAAAATGACTGTGTTGTGGCATGCACGTGATCTTTTTAGTGATTTGTTTATTTTAGCACAAAAAAAATAAAAGTGTATACAAAAAATACTGTATAATAGAAGTAAATAACCTTTTCCCTCTCATCTTCTAACAGGGTGGTACTGGGGCAATATGAGTGTTGCTGAAGCTAAAGAGAGATTACAAGATGCCCCTGAAGGGACTTTCTTGGTTAGAGACAGCTCACATTCAGAGTACCTATTGACTATCTCAGTGAAAACATCCGCAGGACCAACAAATCTGCGTATAGAATATCAGGACGGCAAATTCAGGCTGGACTCTATCACCTGTGTCAGATCAAGGCTTAAACAGTTCAACAGTGTGGTCCATCTGATTGAGTACTATGTCCTCATGTGCAAGGATAGAAGTGGGTCTGAAACAACGTCAAATGGAACCGTGCATCTTTATTTGAACAAACCCCTCTATACTTCAGCTCCATCCCTGCAACACCGCTGTAGGATAACTATAAACAAATACACAAGTAAGATCTGGGAACTGCCTTTACCGACAAGACTAAAAGAGTACTTGAAAGAGTATCAATACCAGGTATAAATATCTTTTCTAAATATGCCATGTGAATCAGTTTTAAATGCAACTGTTTAAAACCAGCCAGAGAACTGAGTATCTAGCTATACAACTCAGTCTGGAATTCACTATTAAAACAGTGAAAGTTTTGAGGGGAAAAATTGGATTTGAGATGCCACAAAATAGGGCTCTTTGCCGAATAATCCCAGCTTCTGTCTTTGAAGGGATGGAAGGGACTTGGCTCCGGCTCCTTAAGAAGGGACATTATTGGCTTGTGAAGGGTTAGGACCCTGTCCAGTTTGTATGGCCTTATATTGCAAGTTAAGGGCCTAGAGCATTTAGGTGCCATCAAATAATATCTGAAGTGTTGACCCACAGGAAATGGAAGAGATTGTGTCATTAGATGGGAGATGTCTCCAAACAAGTCAATTGGCTGTTGCCTGATGCAAAACTAGTTTGGTGCCGATACTGATATATTCATACAGTCTTAAGGGGATTAGGCTCGTGACTTGCCAAACTTATGCAACTAATCAAATCCAGTCAAAGTGGAACATCTCTCTACTTTTTACTGAACTGACAAGCCTGTGCTGGTTTTTTTGCAAGCATAGGAGTCCTGTAATAATCAATTTAATTTTTTTTTCCAAAATTCTCTAAAAAAAACGGATTTAAGGGGGAATGCTTCATTATTTTTCTTCGAAGCACAGGATGTCACTAGTATACTGATTCGATACATCAGGATCTTTGTTAATTTTTAACAGCTTCCATTTGTTTATATCCATGTTATTGAATTTGGCCTCTCTCTTTTTTGGATGGGGCTTTAATACTTTCTACCCAGCAGCTTTGGAGTTGCTCTATTCCAATGTCTAAGTATGGGTATCAGCAGTTATGGCTGTCTTCTACCATGTAGAATATTTACTTTAACTTGTTTCCCAGAAATGTGGGGAAGTCTTTTTTTTTTTTAAGCAGAGCGTTTACTCACTGTATCTATCAGACTGTATTCAATAAAGTGAACCAAGTTACATCTGTTTTTTGTATATACAAATGTGCCACAGTTCAGAAAGTAATGTGATGCCACAAATTTCAAGGCTTTTCCAACCAATGTGCAAAAGACAGCATAAGCATCAGTACAGATTAATGTTACTACTCCACCCATTGCAGAGCTACCTGAAGGTATGAGTAGATTATGTTATGATTTGGGGCTATGTGCTGAATTCTCAAAATGTAAGTGGTAGCAAGGATACTGAAAGGTGCTAGTTATATTGTAGTAGTGTTCCAAGGCAGCAAATGCAATTGACACGCTATGGTGTTAGGTGATCTTCACCACAAACGAATGGTCTTGCTTCAGTCTAAATCTAAATTAGAAGCTTGTGCAATAAAAGGAAGAACTAAGGTAGAAGTAATACCTGGTTACATGGGGTAAATAGAGTACAACTTGATTCTCAAGTGACACTTAACCCTTTACCTGTGTCAAAGTAGAATACAGCTTCAGCAAGGACATCTGACAAGATTTGCCTGGGTTTCAGTCAGCTAGGCTTAGATTGCAGCAAAACAAATGTAGCTTTTGTAGTCTGACCTTCTTGTGTGCTACTTCTAGACCCCAGTACTCATTATAAAAAGTTCTCTGACAACTTTATGGCATCCAGAACCTCAGTATTGTGTATCCATTTGTTGCAAATCAGAATTGCTGTATTGAATAGAACAACAGGCTTTGTCAATTGGGAAGGGAGGGGATCTTTTGGAATGCTAGACACTGGTTCTGCATTGCTTTTCTTTTGAACAGGGTCAAAGGTGACACTGAGAAGGACTTCCACAACGCCTTCTTCCTGACCTCTTCCTACTTGTTTATTTTCAATTCTTTATCCTTCCCCTTACATTTCTTAAGGCAGAGCTAATGGGGAAACAGTTTTCTCTTCCTGCAGTTTTTTTAGAATTTCAATTTTTTTCTGGTTTTGCACTGAAACAAACCCCCTCCTTATGAAGGCATTTGTGGATCTCTTGTTTGCATAAAATAATCAAAGGCAGAAAGACCCATTCTAAAATAGTTAACAGTCTAGCGCATTCACCTGGGACACAAAGAAACACTGTTTTGCCTGAACCCAAGTGTTTTATCTCCCTATAGTGGAGGTCAGCAACATTTTTGGGCAGAGTGCCAAAAAACCCCACAAACTCGACTTCTAAGATGTTGGCATGCCAGGGGTGGATAGTGGGGGAGCCACAAAGGGCCCGATCCTTTACAGCCCAGGCCCCGTCCCTGCCATCTACCCCAAGGTGCACATGCTGAGCACCTATGCCAGGGTTGCCAACCCTGCCCCATAGGATGACTGTCCTAACCATGTCATTGTTCAGGGGTTGTTGTCTCTGCTGTTGGGAAATTGCCTTCTGGAGCTGAGCTGTCTTTCCCAATGAAAACTTCACCAACACTGGCACATATGAAGGTTTTAGTTTTGATCAGCTGGCATTTTTTGATTAAAAAATAAACAAACCTTGGAACCCTGCACTCTATTGGAATGCCCATTTCTACAGCCAAGTGAGCATAATTGTGCCTCTATATTAGCCATTTTAGTGCTGACCATTTTTAGCAAAGCTGATATCTGAAGTGTCAGGAAATGTCACAGATCCCAGGCATAAAAGCAATGGACTGAGTCCCTGCACCAAGATTCTACAACCAGTGGACCAAAGTCATAAGACAAACTGGGAATGGGGCAGAGAGACGACTGGGGAGCTGGAAAGAAAAAAGCAATAGGATGGTCATGTCTTAATTATGATGAACACAAGTTAGTTCACCACTGGCAGGTGTCCCTATAGGCCTCACAGCAGGGATGCATTCAGAGTTGGGATCTGAAGACAGATGAGGTAGGTAGCCAGAGGGAGTTTTGTGGGATGCTTTCCAGTGTATAAGGGCAGCTACTGGTTGAAGGATGGGAATACTAGTGAGCAGAGATAGTAGTTGATGTAATAATCCAAGACCAGTTAAGAGTAGAAGTAAGTCATAGTATGGTCCATGCTTCAGGCAAGTAGACTGCTAAACATGATAGATAAGTAGATTGGAGTGGTAGTTTGTGATGTGTTGGAAGCAAGAAACACTATTTTGAATGAATATGAGGGGGACCAAGGCTAGTTTGAAATCAGTATAAGCCCAGCTTCTCATGGGTGCAGCCCACTGGTTTTGCATCAATATAATTTATTCTCTTTACTTCCATGTGCTAGGACAAAATCACATTGCATACTTATTAACAGGCTGTATGGGCTTTGTGAATTTTTCAGCAATTTGTTGATATACAATGTTTAATTTCTGACTCTTTAGATTCAAGAAGTGATGGTAAACTAAAGTATTGTTTTGAATCTCACCCAGACTGGATTATTATTGTCAATCTGAAATAGTTGACAAGTATTGGTCAAGTCCACAAAAGTCACAAGACTGATTAAGTTATCAGGATTTTTTTAAGCATTGGCTCTTGTTTTGTTGTTGTTGTTTTTATACTGAAAGAATCACATTTTTAATTGTTCTCTGCAATTATCACTGCCATAAACTTTCTCATGAAATGAAAGTTAAGAGCCTCATGATTTTAAAAGGTGATGCTTTTGATGTGGAAAACCAATGAAAGTTCTGAGTTGGCAACACTACAGACATGAACACAAACTCTAACTGACGTGTCACTTAAGGTTCCATCTTGGTTGTTCAGGTATCAAGTATTGAAATGTTGCTTGTTCTATAGTGAAGCGAATAAATGGCTCTACTACAAAGTGGGTGGGTAGGGTGGGAATGCAACCAAGCAGCTGCACCCATCACATTAAAGTAATTTAATTTTAATCTGATCTCTCTAATATTACTCTAATTATATTTTATATAACCACCTTCTACGTAAACAGTTTCTAATTACCATAGAGAAGGTGTGGAGGGAAAATGGTTCACTAGAAGGTAGGGGGGTTTTATTAGCATAAGTAGCTCACAGCCTGAAATACAAGATTTTAAGTCCTAGTCCCTAAATAAAATAGGAAATGCAACATCCTGTTGGTAGCAAGAACTCTTAGGTTGTCAAACTTTGTCATGTCTCAGGAAAACTTTCAGCAAGTCATTGTCCTTGCTATTAAAGCTTGTACGTGATAAATGAGTTAAATGGAGTTTCTTTCTATTTTTTTTTAATATTTTTCTAGATACATGCAGAATATTTTCATGACAATCCATGTGGAATGAGTAGGATTTTACTTTTAATAGTTTGGATAAAAGTGCAGACAATACAGATGACACAAAAAGAAAGCATTCAGAATTGGGTATTTCATCTAAATAGTCTTTTCACATTTTAAAAATGTTATTACTTCAGGCACTAGAATAAACTCCCAGATTTCACACTTACGTAGCCAGAGTTAATGAATAAATTACATTAATTTCTTTAAATGTGTTTGGGTCTCACCCTTTTTGTGGGAGCAGAGTCACTTGAATAGCTTTGTAGAAATGGAATGAAATTCTATCGCGCACATACATTTGCTGTTTCAAAAAAAAGCAGTTCATCTACAGACCACTAGATGAGCAGAGCTGGTCAGTATATCTAATGGAAGTCGGTGTGAGAAGGTCCTTCTACCTCAGTTCAAACCCTGCAAAAGCACTTTTTGGAGTGTTAACTTTTCCATGTCTATAATACAATGGAAAACACTATGCAAACAGACTTGAGAGTATACCTAGTTAAAGAGAAGATACCACCTCACAGCATGATTTTAGTCTGTATGCCATGATATACTTCAAATTCAGGTGGTAATATGCTGAACATGCGCTGAAAGAACCTGGAACCAACATCTGTTACCAACTACTGCTGTGGTCATTAATACTGAGCAAATGCCTTAGCCCTTCGAAGTCACAAATAATTTTGTTAGAAAAGGGATCCGTTACACTGTTGGTCCAGCTAGAGCACTAGAACATCATGTTTAAAAAATGTTCTGCTTGCTAAGGGGGTGATTTCCTGCCTAGCTCGTGGTTGTCCAGGAAAGACGGCTTGTATTTTCACAGAAACAGAGGAACATCACAC